AAAGTCACAAAAAAGTCAAAGCCTGCCTGTTTTTTACATGGGTTGCATGAAGGATTGTGTTGTTAACTTTTATTAATAAAGTTGCTAATATTTCTGCAAAAGTCTTTTTTATACCATTTGGCCTGTACATTGATAGTCAGGATGACACGACATAAGGAAAAAGAGGCAAGGAGGGAGAAGGAAAACTTAACACACTGGATAACTACTACGTCTCTTAAATTATTCAACCAGTGAGATATCACTCAACGAGTATTTTTAATAGAGTTGGTATATGATGGCTCTACTGCACTCATTTCACTTTTAACAGCAGTTATGTTACAAAAAGTGTTTTTTTTCTATTTATGATACATATAGTACCCCCCCTTTCTCCATGGATTACAAGCAAAAAAGGATATTTCAGGGAGGGAAAGAGGGAGGGAGGGAGAGAGGAATCAGAGAAGAGATATATAGAGAGATGGATAGACAAATGGATAAGCAGGTGAAATACAGATGAGATAAAGAGATATAAAATGTGAAGATATAGACAAAAGAGAGATACAAAGATGAAAGAGAGAAAAGGTGGATAAAGATATAGATGAAATAGAGATAGATGGATAGATGAGATAGATAGATAGATGGTAGAAAACCTGTCTGGATGTTGCTAAACTACAACTCCCAGCAGCCTCAAGCCAGAGTAAGGGATGCTGGGGGCTGTGGTCCAACAGCATCTGGAAATCTATGTTTGGCACCATCTCTAATTTTCTTCTATCATGCTCTTGATAAAGATTAGTGAATGAAAGAAGTTGACATGAGGATCAAGATGAATCCCCCTTGAAGGCACCAAAGACCTTAGCCAAGCTCTTCATTGTGTCTCCTCCTCAGGTTTTCCAATATCACTTGGGGGATCTCCATCTTCTGAAATGCTCCGTGTAGTTGCTTCTAAAGTTGGCCTGTGTTGTGTCAGACTCGGGCACAGCTACCCAACCTTTATGATTGTGGCACTGAAAGCCAGAGTGGAAAGACACACATCTGAGAAAGTCCTCAGTGCATCCTCAGAGCCAACCCAAGGACCCGGGTCCTACGAGCAAGGAATTCACGGCTTCCAAACAACATCCTTTGTGTAGCCGTGCAAACCCATTGTGTGAAGGTGTGGTATCTTAGCACGCTTACATCCCCCATGGAGGACAACCTAATCAAATATAAAATCCCAGCTATTTGAAAGAGAAATGGCAATAGACCAACATAAGGTTGACCTTGGGGAAGATAGAGATTGTTAGCAAAATGGGAGGTCAGCTCAAGAAACAAGACCACATCAGAATGAAATTTAACTAGGCTACGCTTGGCATAAAAGGAAGCGAGAGAAAACACCAGGCTTTCCAGATGCTGTAAGAGCTGGTCTCAATGCGCTCTCCTCTGCCTCTGCGCGCGCACGGGCAGGTTGAGCATGTCGCTGGTTCCCCTCACCCGGTCGCGAACTGAGGAGAAAACCCTAGGAGTTTATTTTATTTTATTTTTTAAAAAAACCTTTCCACTGGGTGCCTGGAAAAAAAAGGGAGCCACAGAGTCCATCAGTGGCTCTTCAACAAGGTCTCCATATTTGAATGCAATTGGCTGTTTAATTAAAAGCAGGGTGCACAGTAAATTGGAACAAATGCAAAGTAAAACCCTAGGAGTTTATTTTATTTTATTAAAAACCTTTCCACTGGGTGCCTGGAAGAAAAAGGGAGCCACAGAGTCCATCAGTGGCTCTTCAAGAAGGTCTCCATGTTTAAATTCAACTGGCTGTTTAATTAAAAGCACGGTGCACAGTAAATTGGAACAAATGCAAAGAAAACCCTAGGAGTTTATTTTATTTTATTTAAAAAAACCTTTCCACTGGGTGCCTGGAAGAAAAAGGGAGCCCCAGAGTCCATCGGTGGCTCTTTAACAAGGTCTCCATGTTTAAATGCAACTGACTGTTTAATTAAAAGCAGGTGTGCAGTTATTCAAGTGGGACTTATTCTTCATTTTAACACAAATGGCTACATACACGTAATGCCCCCCAGGGACGAACCTTTGTTTAGCGAGTGTTCACAAAAAGGAACTAATTCAGAAAGGCTACTGACCTCAAAGACAGGCAAAACGGCGACCAAAAAGAGGCCTCTGCAGCCACGCGGCTCGGATAGAAGAAGCCGGAAGTGCGGGGGGTTTTTTTTTTTTGGGTGCCTGGTCACATGACCGAATCAGATTGGGTGATTTTTGCAAGATCTTTTTTGCTTTTGCTTTCCTGGAGCTGCCTGGAAGACCTGCTGCTTGCTGGGCTTCAGAGCTAGAATTACTTCTGTAATTTTAAAATATTCTTTTTTGTTCCTCTGTGGACCTGTCCTTCTGTCGTTTGGAATCCCTTTGGGAACTGCTCTGCTTCCTATTGTGCTGATAAGTGCAGCACTTTGCAAGATGGTTTGTTTGCATCTGCCTGACATTGGTAGCCTGTGGCTGCTGCCGCCTCCTCTCCCTGGCACAGACCCAGCAGAGATTCTGCTGACCCCTTACTGCAGGGGTCTTCCCCCCTGGCCCTTGCATGACTGTGGACTTCAACTCCCAGAATCCCTCAGCCAGGATGCTTTAAGACAGAGGTCTTCCAACGTGGCCCTTTGATGACTTGTGGACTTCAACTCCCAGAATTCCTCAGCCAGGCATGCTGGCTGAAGAATTCTGGGAGTTGAAGTCCACAAGTCATCAAAGGGCCACATTGGAAGACCCCTGCGTTACCGGAAGGAAATCCACCGCCCACCCCATTTTGGATTTTGCCTGGAGAGGCTTGTGCTGATCAGGGGCAGTGGGTGTTTTTTTTTTTTAGGTTTTAAATTTAAATTGCCTCCAGACTAGATGACCTCAAGGTCCCTTCCATCTCAGTTACCGTTGCAAGCTGGCAATTCTGTAAACTCTACCCCCATCTCCCTCTGCATGCCTGGTCGGAGACTCTTAAGATAGTGGCCAGCAAGTGTTGTTTTTTAAAAAAAGGTTTTAAATTTAAATTGCCTCCAGAAGTTGTGGGTGTTGAGAGGGACAATGAGAGGGAGGGGGGGAAGGAAGGATCAAGAAAAAGAACAGGGAAGGTGGGAGGAAATATCAAAGGATGGATGGAAGGCTGGGAGAGGGCAGAAGTCATTATTTCAAGACATTTTTTTTCTGAGTAAAAGATGCTGTAAAGAAAGATCCAAAATAAAATTGAGTTTGGCTGCACCAATGTAACAAATCGTATCTCATTTTTTTAGCAGGCAACGCTTGCTATTTGAGACTGTCTTTCAAAATCATAGATGGGATTTACTTATATGCCACTTTACCAATTTTTCAAATACAGTTTAATTTGCTGGTCTCAACTATGCTAGAGCTGCATTTTAGTTTTATCGACTTCATACATAACAGCGGTTTAAAAACTTGGGCCAGTGGCACAAAGGCTCAAGAGGAACATAATAATCCCCATGAGCTCTGCCCACATTTCCCAATGGAAACAACGCTTTTAATTCAAGCCACTCCGAAAGGCCAATCCAGTGAGGATCTTTATTGATATCAACAGATGAAGTTACACAATTCTTCCTACATTGAATTAAAATTTAAAAAGCATCACTCTAGGATACCTCAAGCATCTTCATCTCCCCAGAAATCGTTGTTTGGAAAACAAGCCAGTTTATTCATGGGCTGCCAAGTTTTTCCACCACAGAGAAACAGCCAGTCACAATTCACAGGGAAATAAAAATAAAAGGAATGATGTTTAGCCTGAACCTGGACCCCACCAGCCCCAAAGTGATGATACTGGAGAGGGGAAGGGGGTTGCAACTGCTTGCACAACCAACGCTTTGGCTTTCGCGTCCCTTGTGATGTATTTTGCTCTAGTGGTATTATGCTGAAACACCAAACTCATCGGGACGGGACCAAAGCAGGCTCTGTTCAGTGAAGACTATTAGCCCCCTTGTGTACACATTAAGTTTTATTGTAACAAAGCAACTTGTACACTTTTTTAACGTTTAAAACTGAGCATCTTTCTTTTTTCCAGTGAAACAAAAAAAAAGTTGAAAAAAAAACCCAAAACAAGGAACGAAATTACAGTAGAGAATGTAAATTCCAAATAAGATCCTACGGGGGGTTTGCTGATTCTCCGTCAAGTGGAAGGGCTGAACTGTAATCATTAGGAGAGAATTTAATTAATTTTTTTTCATTTTAAAGTGTCGTCTTAAACTGCAAAGATGTTTGTTAAACATCACGATTAAACATGCCAAAAGGAGAAGAAGCCATGTTTTGTCAAAATGCCCATTTAACCCACCCCAACATCTGAAACCCACCCCTTGCTTACCCTGTCTATAACCCCCCCCATATTTTTTTTTTTAGCTTTTTTCATTTTTTTTAAACAAGAGAAATAGACAGATACATGTTGGTAAATGCTAACTGTCCATATTCACATAAGAGACACAGTGTAATCTCTGAACCCAATCAATATACAGAGAGAGAAGGAAAAAGCTAGATTCTATGCACTACCACACAGGGGGGCCTAGCACTCCGCAGCCTCCGGCAGGAGCAGACGGTTCTCGTTCTTCCCCACAGAACACAGTGCGCTGATGCCACTGACAGTTTTTTTTTCTTCTTTTTTTTTTTTCGTTTCAAAAACAGGGATTAAAAAAATTGAAATGGGTCGAGATTCTCTTCCACTGTATTCTGCTCAAGATATTTTTCTCCAAAATTATTTGTGAACCATGGTGAAGAGAAGAAAGAAAAGACCTCGGGAGAACAATGCGACTGAGCACAAGAGGGCGGGCGGGGGGGATGGAAGGGGGGAAGGAATAAGACAGCAATTTGCTCCCAGGGACTGGTGGAGGGAAAAGGGAAGGTGGGACTGTGGTTGGAATCTGTCAGTGTTCAGTCGTCATCTCCTTCATCCTCCTGTGGAAAGAAAACCAACACTTTCAAATAAATGGTTGGTTAAGTAATGGTTAAATAAACCACCCGCTTGTCACGTTTCCTTTGCTTTACACTCTTGTGGCCCGTCAAACCAGGGAAGCAAGCAGCAATAAGGGGGTTAGTTTGAACAAACTTAATCTAAGGCTCTTATTACTGAGGCATGCTTAGCGCTGTTCCATTTGGGGATTGTGAATCCTATTAATGGCTCTGGGGTCCTAGTCTGAAGTTCTTTTAGGCTGTAGTGGTACAGGCACTGCCAACAAATAGATTACACTAAAAGATGAACCTCAACTTGAAATGACCACCACCCACTAAGAGAGAGAAAAAAATATTAACACCACTGTTCTATTTTGACCGGAGGCAATTTTCAAGAGGAAAAATCAACGTTCCTTTTAGCTAAATAGGGTGAGGAGTGGGCTTTGGCTGTGCAAACGAATGAAGGGAGAGGCTCCTTTTGGTGCCTTTGGGCCAAGCACGAAAGGAGGTCCTGTGGAGCAGGGTTTCCTGACCTCAGCAACTTTAAAGGTGTGCGGACTTCAACTCCCAGAATTCTCCAGCCAGGCTCTGGAGCATAATATGACCTAAGTAAAATAGCAGGTTACACCACGTACAGGAGAAAAACCATTAACTGGTGCTTATGCAACTTGCCCAGTGGCATTTCTCCCCTATATTGGTAGCAATACATCAGTTCATGGCAATGAAAGAAACGTTTCCTTCCAAATCAATTCGTGTGCCATCAATAAGCTAATTGTGCTAAGCCAATCCTGTATATATACTTTGAATTACAGGGGAATTTACCAGCAAAAATCAAGCCTCCTGCTGGCTGACACGAAGGCGAGTTATACAAGTTGCAATTGTAACTACAGCAGCGGCCGAATTCGAACTCCTAATCAGCCAAAGCAGTGGTATATGGTGGAAGTATTCCGCCCAGGGAATCTCCAAAGACTAGTTCTGTTCTGAGCTTAAAGTTCAGGGCAACACAAGGTCACTAACTGCCATCCCAAGAGGGAAATCTTAGAGCTCTAACCTCTCCTTCTTCTCCCTCATCATCATCTTCATCTTCCTCACCCTCATCTTCATCACCTTCCTCATCGATGTCCTCCAAGCCTTCCTCCTCTTCGTCGTCGTCATCGTCCTCCTCTCCCTCACCTTCTTCATCATCCATATCAGGTACCTGGTTGGGCAGAAACAGAGTTAGCAAAGGGCCCCCTGCGCCTTAGACAGCCGCGCAACCGGCGGGCGGGTCTTCCCGGCGGACGCTCACCAAGTAGTACTGCAGTGGATTTGGCCAGATGTCGTCCTTGATGACCTCCCCCAGTTCATCGGCGCCCGCATCAGAGTGGTCGGTGAACCAGGTGAAGAAGCTCTCCGGTTCTTCATGCTGCCTCTTTCTGCTGGCCTTGTTCTGCGTCTGGCTGGAGCGCTTTGTCAGGTCCTTGGGTCCGGAAAACGGGGAAAGATTAACAACCCCTCCCATCCGCCTGTTTTCTGCCACAACTGCTTCGGTGTCAATTTACAACCCGATTTGTTATTAAAAAGTTAGCAATTATGTAACTCCCCCCCTCCCCCAACACAGCAGATCCATTTGATGTTTCTGCTACAATTTGGAAGTTGAGCTCATCTGCCTCGCTTCCTTTGACCGTCTATCGTGGCACAGAAGTCAATAACTGTGAAGGAAGGAAAGCAGAGCTTCGTGCTGGGAATGGCGGACGACAATTACAAATATTGCAGCCAGTTACAATTCAAGCGTTATGGAAGGAGCAACTGCAGGCAGACACGACCTGCAAGTTATTTCTCTCACCGTGAATTTAAAGGAAAAAAAAATCACAAATATTGAATGACCCCAAAGGAAGTCAACATAAAGCTTAAAAACAGTCCCTGGACAAACCAATTCAGTTCCAATTTTTCACACTTATCATTTCCATTGGCCTGTAGCAGACTGATCATGGCTTCCGACTGAGACCCTCCCTTTCATGTTATAGGGTGGGATTCCACCTGACTTGCTGCCGAGAATTGTAAGGAACGACCCCCAATGGCTTATTCCGTGTAGTAAAAGATACGATAGTAAAAGAGTCTGGGAACACTTTTTCCAACTCTACACGTTTTATTAAAAGCCATCAGCTTTCGTGAACTTCTGCTACCACTCCCCCTTTTTTTTAACTATTACATATGATGATTTTATACTTAATGGAGTTAATTACCTTCCCAGATTTCCATTTGATTTCACTGGACTTGGATGAGGGGTCTCCACTTTCGTTCAGATGAAACTCTTTGGAGAGCATCTTGTTTTCAAAATAGGGATTCTCATCAAAATACTGCATTTAAAGGAACAAAAATAGAAACACTGAAATTTACACATTGCGTGTACGTAGCGTGATTTCTAAATTGCTTACCATCCATACATTAAGCTTATGCACGTTTCCCCTGCACAACTCAAGTGTAGATTGTTCCAACCACCACCACCCCGCCCCCCAATCACCAACAAGCACCTCAAAAGGGTTGTAAACGCATCCTATGGAGGATATCTTGAGACATGCTACGTAGAAAATGTATTCCAAACAGCATTTTAAAAAAAAATTACACAACTGGAAAAAAGTGTAAAAATGGTGCCGTACGCCTGTACTTACAAAATCTATTCTGTAACCTGATTTGATGTCCTCAAACTCTGTCACCTCAACTCTGATCAAATAATGCAATGCCTCTTCATCTTCCTCTCCCAGCAGTGCAGATACTAAAGCAGGAAGATGAAATTTATGTTACAAATAGTTTCATAGGAAGCCACTTTCTCATTAATCACATCTATTTCTCTCTCAAATGTACGCTTCCCTACTAAATTTCTACATTAAGTGTTCTAAAATGCTAAATTTAACAGGGAATTAGGATGAACAATACTAGGCACGTTCACTGCTTTATTTATAAAAATAATAATGCAGGGATTAAAAAAAATCTAAAATCTAATCAAAAATAGGAAGTAACTCAATGACTTTTGCATTTTAAAACTTTCATTTTGTATGTGATATGAAAGATTACAAGTCACTTAAAAATTGTTTTGTAAGTTTCCAGGTAAAAATACATAAAATAACTTTGCTTACCTTGTGGGTGGTTGACAAATGTTGTAACCCAAAAGTTGGGGATTTTGGCGATCAATTCTGACCTTTTCTGGAAGAATGGTTGGCGGAGTTTGTTGTATTTCTGTTCTACTTTCAAAATTTCCTCACTGGCTTGTTCGTTCAGTCTGAACACAAGATTTAAACACGTGTAAAAACCTTTATGCAGTACTTAAATCTGGAGTACTAAGCAGGTTTTAACCCAACATGGAACCTTTCACATAGCGAAATGCCAAATCCACACTTTCATCATAAAATGTAACATTTATCAAAGACAGATTTTGTTTTGGCCTTAGGTAGAAAATTTCAGCTGAAAAGGTCCAGCGCACAAAAGAAATAAATTGAGCATTAAATAGTTTTAATTGTTCTGCATGAGAGCTCTTGTTTTGCAGAAATAATGTTACAATTTATGTCAAATCCTCAAAACATTGGGAGGAAAACTGAAACAGGCAAATTGTGTTACATTGTAAAAAAGGGACTTTTCTCAACAAATTCCAAGCAAAGGTTCAAGTTCAATATACTGAAATTCTTTATATTAAAAACCATCTCCTTATGACATCGTATCAAGCTAATTATGAAATCAGGAAAAAATATTTACAATACAATCCTTTTACAGGATGGCAAACTAACCACAAAACAGATTTAAAAGCATAGTTTACCTGTCTATTTCATTCTGTACTTCATCAATATGTTCAATCGCTTCCTGCTGCTCTTTGTCTGGGGGGTGGGAGAAATAAAAGTTTATTGAAGCCCCTACAAAAAGGATCAAACTGGGGACAAGGCAATGTTTTGAAAACATCACACATTGCGTCAAGCCCCCAGACCTTCCGCTAAGTGTTCATAAGGGCTGAAATCCGGCCCCCTTAAAACAGATACAACCGCCCCCTCCCTGCAGGAAGGGAAGCCCCTGCATCTGGAGCAAGCGCTTAGCTTAAGGCCGTCCACGTTGCCCCCGCCCACAAATCCGCTGAGGGGGGCATGCAAGAAGGGGATCCATCCCTTCCCCTCGGCCTAGCAACCTGACCACGTGACTCTGGACCAGCCCCTTCCTCCCAAGCCCAGCCCACCTCGCAGGGTAGTTGTGCCGGGAAAAAAAGGAGGCAGGATGCTCAGGCCAGCCCCCGGCCTCGAATAAAAAGGCGGGATGCTGAAATCTTATCCCAGGGGGCATAAAAAAGGCCAAATACACTCCAGAGAACATCTGGCTGTGCCCTGAGCCCTAAGAGGAACCGCCCCGCGCTTCTGCTTCCGGTCCATCCGCCTCCCCCCTCGCGGGAGCAAAACCCCCCCCCCCGCCCCAAGGATGAAACCAGCCGCATCGAATGGCGGGAAAAAGCCCCCTCCCCCACCCTAACAAAGTTCCCCCCCCGATCCGCTGCAGCAGCAGCTCCTGCAGCCAGAAGGCGCCCCCCCTCTTCCTCCCCCCGGGGGGGTGATGTTGGGAGAAATAACCCCTTTCCTCCCTCCCCCCCCGCCAAGCCACCTGCCGGCCCCCAAGCCCCCCCCGGCACGTGCGCCCCTCGCGGGGGGGTCGGGGGCGCCTGATGGGGGCGCCCCCCCAGCCCCGGCAGGCGGGGGGGCTGGCACGTGGCGCCCCCGGAGAGCGCGGCCCCCGGCCATGCGGCGAGCGCAGCCATCATGGCGGCCCGATCGGCGAAGGGGGGCGGGAGGAGGGAGGGAAGGAGGGAGGGAGCGGCGCCATCGGGCCGGCCGGGCCTCGCTGGGCGGCAGACAAAAGGGGCGCCGAAGATGGCCTCCTCCTCCTCCTCCTCGGGCCGAGCCAGCGATCGGCGGGCCAGGCCGCACATCCGGCCTCCTCCTCCTCCTCCTGCAGCCCGCCGCCGTTCGCGCCTCCGGGGAAGATGGCGGCCGCGCAGAGGGAAGCAGGCGGCAAGGGAGGCGGCAGGCCCCGCCCGCGCCTACCGGAGATCTCGTCGGCCCCGTCGTGGTTGGAGTTGAGCTCCTTCTTGGTGACTTTGGCCGCCGGCGCCGACATGTTGAGGGAGGAGGGAGCGCGGAGCCTCGCCTCGCCTCAGACCGGCCTGGCCCGGCCGCCGCGCTCCTGCCGCCGCCGCCGCCGCGCTCTCCCCGGCTCTCGCTCGCCGGCTCTCGGCCGCGCTCCGCCCGCTGGCCCGCAAGGCCGCGCTTCGACCGAGGCGGCGGTGGGTGGCCGAGCCCGGGTCGCCTCACGCGATGACCGCCGCCGCCGCCGCCTCCTCAGGCTCCTCCAGGCGAGGGGCGAGCGCTGCGCAGGCGCAGAGAAGTGCTTTCTCTCCTCGCCCTCGCGCGGCCGCCAGCAGACTGAAGGCGCGCACGGCGACTGCGCAGAGCAAGGCCCGACTCGGCCGCTTCTCCCGCCCCCTGAGACGCGCAGGCGCAGAGGCGGCCCCTCCCGGACGCTGGGCGACGGCGAGGGGGGCACCGCGCACGCGCGGCCGGCCTCTTCTCCGCGGCGCGCGAAGGCCCGCGGGGGAGCGCGCAGGCGCGCGCGGGGCCTGTAAGCACTCTCCCCAATCGGGTGGCAGCAGGAGAGAGGATGAAGTCGAGCCAAGCCGCATGCGCGGCTGAGAGACGGAGAGAGAAAAAGAGAGGGAGAAAGAGAAAGACGTCAACGCGGCTCTCTCGTTCCCGCCCTCCGCCTGTCGGCCTTCTGCGCAAGCGCACGGCCGCCTTCCCCCCCCCGAGTAATGGAATAAAGAGGTCAAGTGGCCCTGCTCGAGAAGAAAAGCGTTCTGCGCAAGCGCGGTGGCGCGGCTTCTCCCCCCCTCCCTTCTTGAAACGCGCTTTTTTTTTCTTCCAGCGGGAGATGTTTTGAGTGATGGGGCGGAGCTGAGGGCGGAGAGCCCGCCCCTCTCCGCTCTGGATTGGTAGCCGAGGGTTACAATAGGCAGCGCAGAGGCTGGGAATGGGCGGAGCGATCTGGCTCTATCTAGTCTGATGCCCGCGGGGGCGAGCGAAAAGTAGGGCGGCGGGTGCGCATGCGTAGGCTGCTGCGCGCGGGAGTTTCCTGCCCTTTTGTGCGCTGGGAGGGGGGGGCTCTTCAGGTTGCTTTGGGGCTGTTGCATGCATGGCACATGTTGCACATTACACGCCTCCGGCCTTTCCTGCAAATAACACACGCTGGTGCAGAAAGGCTCCCCTTTCCAAACTGGGGGGGGATGCAATTGGAGAGCAAGTGCCCCCCCCGTTCAGGCATGCCCTTGCAAGGGAAAGCAAAGCATGCCCATAACTGCAGCCCCCCCTTTTCCCCAGGTGCCTGGGGGCTGCAAGGAAATGCTGGAGAAAATGCAAATTTTTCGAGCTTCGCAATCATTAAACCAATCTTTCCCCCCTAAAGGCAGAGCAGAATCAAGACTTTAGTGGGTGCCAATTTACTTGGGGCAGACCCCAAACAGCCCCCTTCTTTTAATTCCCAAGAGGCAGAATCGGAAGAGTTGAAAGAGACTATGGAGGTCTTCCAGGTAGTCCAACCCCCTTCCCCAGAAGGAGACCCTATACCACCATTTCAGACAAAAGTTAGGATCTTTAACATTCCCTGAGGCAGGACTGGCTGAGGTGGGGAACCCGGGCTGGGTCTGGTAAAGCAAAACTCTCAGGCCATCAGTTTAAAAACTCTTCTGTATTTTACAACAGAAATAACTTAAGAGGAGAAACCAACATCTCGAGAAAGAGCTCGCGTGCAAACGAAGCCCGAGCCGTTTCCGAAGCTCTGCATGTACGGACGAGGCTGTGCTATTTTTTCCAATTGTTGGATTCCTAATTGCAAACGCCTTTTCCAGTTATAACGACGGATCATTTTCTGATTTTCTTTTTTTTTAATAAAAACACTTGAAAGAAAAGGAAACGGCCTCTCATTCAACCGTCTCCTACTACACCTAAAAACAGAGAAACGGCGCAGGGCGTAAGCCAAAAGTGGAACCAAACTGAAAGTCTGTAACACGTCAATCCAAAGACTCAAAAGGAAAAAGAAAACACGCGTCGGGCTCGGCCGGCCATCGGCGTCCCGGGTTCGTTCTGGGATCGGAGCAAAGCGGCAAACCCAACAGGGCGGAGCGGAGATGGCCGGAGCCCTCTAGGTGCGATTCAACGTCTGGAAGATTCGGGAGATCTGTAACATGACCGGCCCGGTTTCCGGGTCGTTCATCCACTGCGTGCTGTTCAAGGGGTTTTCCAGCATGTCTTCAAAAGCTGCCGGAGAAAAGAGAGAGGATGGAGGCAGTGCTGCAAAGGGTTATAAATGCGAGCTGATCGCCCACCACGCACGTGCAACCAGTAAAGTTTCTGTTACTTTAATCAAGTGTTTCCCAACCTTCACAATTTTTAAGATGCGTGGACTTCCAGCTCCCAGAATTCTCCAGCAGCACGGGGAATTCTGGGAGTTGAAATTGCAAGAGAAATCTGGATTATAATGCAAGCATTCCTACCTCCCTCATCTCCTCAGCCTGCATCCAATTCCTGGGAAGCCCTGGGACTTACCAAGTAGAGTTTTAGGGTTTGTCAGCCCCAACTGCACCACGGGGTTTTCTAAGATGGCTTGGAAAAGAGGGCTGGCAGGGTCGATCCCCTTGTCTAAATCTTCGGGGGTCGGCTTCCGGTCGCCCAGCAGCCACTCGCACTGAGTGGAGGAAATAAAGACAAAGAATGACCCCTTTGCACCCCTTCAGGTGCCACGTGAGAAGAAGAAGGGTGAGCAACTCCAGGGCAACTGAGTCTGTCGTTTATACTTCTGTAAGTGCCTCGTTTGGCACGGCTACCAAACAGGACAGCTAAACACTTCAACGGATAGTTAAGACAGCAGAAAAAAACAATTGCAAGCAGCCTGCTTTCCATAGAAGACCTGTATATTGTGTGGGTCAGAATGAGGGGTGAGGAAATAGCCACAGACCCCTCGTATCCTAGACATAAACAGTTTCAACTCCTCTCCCTGGGACTCCACTATAGGGCATCACACACTTCTAGGTTGGGGCTCTCTTTAATAAGTTTCCACCAGTTACTTCTCGTCCTGCCTTCAGGGGCTTTGGAGATTAGGTCAACCCCCTTTTCTCTGTGACAGTCCCTCAAATATTGGAAGAAGCTATCACATCCCCCATGGATTTAAGCCCCCTGGATAGGCAGCCTGTAAGAAGGCAGCCAACCCTGCAGAAGTTGCGAGAGACTCACAGCGGCGTTTTGCTGGTTGTTGTTGACCCTGAGGGCGTCCACCACTTCTTTCTCGTCAAAGCCCATCTCCATTAAGGCCGCCACTGCCTGAAAAAGAACCATGGAAATGCTTACACTGGTTGCCCAACTAAATCCATTTCTTGCATCCCATTCCTGGACCCCCAAGGCCAGTGGCTACTTTTGGATGGAGCAAAGACATGCACGGCTCCCATAAAATAACGGGGGGGGTGGCTGTTTTAGGGGGAGAGGAATTCAAAACAGGCCATCAGCTGGTGGGAAAATGGGATTACAGATGAGCAGGTTACTGGCAGGAGACACCAAATGGCCAGCCTTTGGCTCCTTACACCACTCTGGCTCCAGCAGAAATAAAAAATAACATTTTAAAAGCTGGAGGCTTTCTCCACTAGATACGCCACGTGGGTAGGGAGTTCTGGGGAGGACATTTAATTCCTTCTCTGGAGCGAGAACAAAAACAAACCAGTTGGGAAAAGTCTTTTTTATGTCGTTGGGAATGAATGAGAACAGGGCAGGAACGGCTGAGAGAGGGGTGGGGGTGGGGGCTCCTCCACCAGCTGTCCTGAAAAATTAATACAGGTAATGTTCGAGGTATGACTGTTAATTGAGCCGGGCCACAACAGTTGTAATGTGGGGCACCGTGTGACCGGCCCCAATTTTACGACTTTTTTTTTTTTTTGCAGCGGTCATTAAAGCGAACGTATCGTTCATGGCAGGCCGGTTTTTCCCAGAAACTGGAAGTAAAAAAGCTTTACAGCCACAAGGATTGTAAGCTGAGGACGGCCAAGGCAGGAGACGGGCTCCCCGGAGCAGTTCCGGACGGCGAGTATCCCGGGGTGTGTGTGTGTGCAAACGGGCCGGCAAGCGGAAAAACCCGGAGCAGGGAGAATACCCGTGGATCCGGACGAAACTCTCGTTTCCTTCGTATCTTCTTAAATATTTCCGTCAGCTCGTCTCTGGGCTCCTCCAGGGCGGCTGCTGAGCCGGCCCCGTTGACCGCCGGGGGGAGGGCAGGCCCCGCTTCTTCAGCTGCGCTTTCCACGGGGACGTGGCCGGGCATGGGAGCGTCAGCCGTGGGGTCGTCTGCATGCTCAATGAGCCACTCCATGGCCTGAGTCACGGACATGCTGCAGGGCGAAGGACACACGTCAATACACGGAATAATCAATAATAATAGATAACCAGGATAATAATATGCAACAGAGACGAATTCCTTGTGTGTCCAATCACACTTGGCCAATAAAAAAATCAATTCAATTCTATCTTCTGTTTCTCTTCTCTTCTTCTTGGAGGTCTTCTAATCCACCCGCCCCCCCCCCGCAGGAGACCTTTTTCACAACACGCTCATTGCAATTGTGGAAAGAGAAGCACGTTGGCCCGATTCCTGACCCAGGAATTGGGGGGGGGGTGTTGTTGGCAGAGACACACACCCAGGACGACGTCATGGGGGAACTGGGCACTGCCCTGTTCCGTGTTCTATGCCCTGACGTGAGCCCAACGGTGCCCCCCCCCCCGGTGCCACCTACTGGCTGAGGCGGAGGGCTTTGATGGCTCTGCTCTCAGGAAAGCCCATTTCGGTCAGCTGGCGCAGAGCAATCTCGTCCACTCGGTCATCCTCGTCTTCATCCAACATGGCTGGGGAAAGAAAAAGGGCCGGGTAAGGACGGGCTGGATTCTGTAGGTTGTCTCTGTCTAGCAACCATTCAGGGAGTCCTCAGCTTACAACCATTCATTGAACAATCACTCGATACTGAACGGTTCGTTTAGTGGCCATTCAAACTTAAAAACAGCCCTGAAAAAAAGGGACTTATGACCATTTTTCACTGCATCTGTGGTCACGTGAGCAAAATATGGCAAGGACTTTTCTTGGGACTTTGGGCCAATCACCCAGAGACGGTGAGTTTTGGTTCTGCCTTAGGAATGAAAGCTGGCTGAGTGGCTTTGGGACAGATTCTCTCTCTCTCTCAGCCCAGCCCACCTCACAGGGTTGTTCTGGGGAAAATAGGAGGAGGAGGAGGAAGGTGTGTTGGATATATTTGCCAACTTGAGTTATTTATGAGAATAATAAAGGCAGGATGCCAATCAATAAATATTCCCCCCCCCCCCCCCGCACCGTTTGCCTTCTTGAAGAGCTCGACAGCATCCGGGTTCAAGGCTAAGAGTTTCTGGGCCACTTCGATGAGCGAGACCAAGATTTTCCGAAGCTCCGTCTGAAACTAGAAGGAAGAAGAAATCAACACGTCTAAAGACGCTTCCCCCAAATCCCCCTTTCCTTTCCTTTCCTTTCCTTCTTTCCTTTCCTTGGCACTCTGCCATTAGCCCTGACTTTTGGCAGAAGAATTAATTTCAGTTTAGTTGATTTTTTCAATGCACGGTATTCCTCCCCCCCCCCTTTTTTTTTTTTTGCTTTAGTTTGCCAGGGCCCTTGAGACTCTCAAAAACAATTATTTGCCTTTTGAAAACCACCACTGGGCCTGGGCGTTTTATTACAATTCTTCTATGGATACACATTTCTAAAACTGCCCGTTTTGCGGCTACCTTGACATTTATGGCTCCCGCTTCTAAGAGAGGGATTCTCAGCCATGCTCAAGGCTCACCCTTCACCCACCCACCCCACAATGCCTGCTGTCTTTAAGAGCTCAATTAGAGCTGAAATGAAATTAGCGCCTTGACCAACGACAAGGACGTGGGGTGGATTTGTTCACTGGCCTGGTTCCAGATTGTGATTCACAGGGATTATCACCCTGCCCGAGCTGTCAATTCTCTTTTAAGGAAGCGTCCAGATTGGCAATACGGGGAGTCCTCAACTTACAACTGAGTCCAAAACTTTATGTTGCTAAGCGAGACAGTTGTTGAATGTGTCGTGGCGGTTGTTAAGTCACCCCCCCTTCCATCCCCCCATGCAACTGGCTTGATTTTAGGACCTTTTGTGTGACGGTCGAATCCCTAAGGATTTTTGGGGGGGGCTGGAAAAAAAACCCCATCAGAAATGTTCTTACGCAGCTGGCTGTAAAGTCAAGCCATTTCTGAGTGCCTGTAAAACAGTCATGGAGTGTGTCAGGGGGTGTTGCTGTCACAACTGGATCATAGGTAACTTTTGGGACCCATCGTAACTTTGAACAATTGCTAAGCGGCCAGTCATAAGACAAGGACTACCTGTATTCCAATACATCTTCTTCACCTGCAGCTGAACAAAAGCAAGGGCGGCTGCACAAAGAACGGGACTGCCTCCTCCCACTGTGGTTCCCCCTCCCTGAGACTATTATGGGATGGCCAGACAGCCCTGTTGGGGCTGGAGAGAACCGGGCTGAGCGGCAGCCTCCCGCCCCCCCCCCCCGGAGAAGCCAAGCACTCACGTCTCTCATGTTGTGGTGGGCCACGCTCCGATCCACGCTGTGGGAGGGGAGGCTGGTGGTGGCTTTCAGGATTGCCTCCTTGTCGGGTGCCTTCGGCTCCTGCTTCCGCTGGACGGGAAAGGAATCAATGTTCAGACAACCCCTTGGCTCCAAACATCAGCCCTTTGACTGTTGACCGCTACTTACTCTGGCTGCCCCAAAGGACAACTACGCTTATTTTAAAGATGGGAGGCCCGCCTTATATTCGTTCGTTTGTTTATCTGTCTCCTGCCTTTATTATTTTTGAAATAATTCAAGGTGGCGAACATATCTAATGTACCTTCCTCCTCCTCTTTTTCCCATCACAACAACCCTGTGAGGTGGGTTGGGCTGAGAGGGACCGGCCCAAAGTCACCCAGCCGGCTTTCTTGGCTAAGGTGGGACTAGAACTCCCAGTCACCTGGCGATTGGCCCAAAGTCACCCAGCCGGCTTTCATGACAAAAGCTCATTTTTGCCCAAGTCTCACATAGTAAAGAATCCAGGCTGGTGATGTGACCCAGGGATGAGAAGAGGGAGCAGGTGCCAAAGTGCAGCTTGACGCACAAAGGCCGAGAGTCTTTCCGCATCCCGGCCCTCGGGACTCACCTTTTCCTCGGCAGAGACGTCGGCCATCTTTGGAGGCGCTGGGGGGGCCCTTTTCTTCACCAGGACCAGAACATCTAAGGAGACGAGAAGGAAATAAAGGGAATGAGATGTCACGGCTGGCTTCATTTTCTGCTTTAATAGGATGAAAAAAGTTGGAGGAAGGGGAAAAAACAACAACACAATGTCTTGCCCAGTGCCAAAAGGATCAAAGAATTAACTTTCTGCCTTTCAGAGTTGGCTTTTCTGAACGCCGTGTGACCCCCAGCCGCTCCCTCACCTCGATCCTGAATGTTTTCCTCCGATACCGTCTTGGTGTCACTCAGCACCTTCTCCGAAGCGGCGTGGATGAGTTTGTGGTGCGTCACACATTTCGGGTCCTCGAGGCTGCCTGGCAAGCACTGGGGAGGGGGAAAGGGAGGGGAGGAAGAGCAGGGAAGAGAGTGAACCTTTTAAAGCAGCCTCGTCCTCCTCGTCCGTATGCTTCCTGGGCAAAACAGCCCCTTCTGGGGAAATGTAAAAAACTGGATGGAGAGACAGGATATGGAGGGCTCAAGAGGAGAAGAATGAAAATTACAGGATACATGCAGGTAGTCCTCAACCTATGACCATAATGGAGCCCAACATTTCTGTGGCTAAGCCAGACAGTTTTTAAGTGAATCACTGCAGTTGTTAGTGACACGGTTGTTAAATGAATTTGGCTTCTCCCACTAACTTCGCTTGTCAGAGGGTCTTGTTTGCCTTTTTTTGCACTTAACGACTGAATGATTCGCTTACCTGCAGTAATTCACTTAACAACCATGGGGAAAACATTGTGAAATTGGGCACGACGCACTAAAGAACTAGCTTGTTTTAACAACGGACATTCTGATGCCAACTGTGGTTGTAAATTGAGGATTACTTGTACAGACTGAGCAGAGAAATAATGGGAATTTCTACACATCTATGAGGTTCCTATAGAGCTGAACTGCCTTCCATAACTATGACTTTTTTCTGCGATGTCAGGGCTGGTTTATTTTTATATTCCCCCGCAATGACCTTTTGCAGGCGACAGGAGATGTTATCAGCTGATCCCAAACATAAGGCTTGCCACTCTAGGTAAATGTCTGAGTTAATATCCCTTGCAGCATCCAGATTGGCTGTCTTAAAACTAGAGGCAGAACAGTCATTCGCTAAAATATTGTTCATTTGGAAACCTGTGCCTGTTTCCAAAAGAAAAAAAAAATTAAAATGGAAATGCAAAAAGCTTTCCCTCTTTTCTTAAAATAAAGTGGGCAGATTACCAAAATGAAACCAAAGATTCATTTGGTGTCCCCCAAAAGTTCACCTTACACTCATATCGGCCCATTTTAGGGGTGGTGTTTCCAATGTTTTGAGTCACAGAAGGAAATCATCCAAATACTATACAGCGTGAGCTTGTTTTTAAAACACTTGTATTTTTGCATATGAATATGCAAACTACGCAAAAATTAAATGCACATTTTTTTTCTTTATGGAAAGCATCTGTTTTGGGATATTTCAGTCCTGAAATCTTCTCCCAGTCTTCATTTCCAAAAATAACTTTGAAATGCAAAGTCAGGGTTGGCTCAGGACACATCTGTGTGACTGTTAAACAAGCCAGTTTCTTTCTTTTTTTTTTCTCACAAAGGAAGGGAAAATTGACCTGAATAGACACTCTAGATATGCCCTGGAGATTCCCACCAGGTCCCTAAAGTTTTTTCTGCTGATACTGCCTTTTAAACTTGGTTACTGCAAACATTTTCTTGGGTGTAAACAGCAACTGGGGAGACCAGTTGCTTTCAAGATTAGCTCACCCCACCCTACATTAAGGTGCCACTGAAACACTTCCTCCCCTGCCCAATTTTTTAAACAACCAGTTTAAGCTTCAAAACACTCTAGTGCTCAAGTATATGGTCCTCAGTGAGGGTCCTGCAAACCAATAGAGGTGGCCTAGAAGGGGTGAGAATTGTAGTCTAGCCAGAGGATTATGGGCACTGCCTTCCAGCAGACTGGAAGCACTACCTTCTGCCCGGCTGGGGATGATAGGAGCTGAAGCCCCTGACCTCCAGAGGGCCAGCAGGTCTGGAAATAAACTGTGCTGACTGGGAACCACGGAGGCTGTAGTCAATCCGTCTGGCTCGTTATGATGGGCTATGTAATCCACCCCCCCCCCCGATCAGGAGCTCCACAGGGAGGTGGGCCATAGCGCCGGCTGACGATGATGAGCACTGTGGACAATGCCCTCTAAAGGGCATGAGGAGGTGCAGGGGTCAAATATGATGGGCTATGTAGTGCATCACTCTGACACAAGTCCCAAGTGTGCGTAGGCAATAGTGCCGATTGAGGACGATGGGCACTGGCGTCACCCTCTCTAAAAGGGCTCGGCAGCTCAGGAGGCCGCACTGGCCAAATGAGATGGGCTATGTAGTCCACCCCCTCTGCCAGGAGCCCCAGGTGGGGGCCGACCTAGCCAGGCCGGCTGAGGACGATGGGCACCCTAGCCAGCCCCTTCTGAAGGGCGGCCCGACGCAGTCCGGCCCCTCGGCCGTGGGGCGGCTCCGGCTGCGGACGAGGGGCGCTGTAGTCCCCCCGGGGGCTTACGTGCTTGAGGCAGCGCTCCTTGAGGCGCTCGATGGCCGTGTCCTCCGGGACCTCCTCCAGCCACTCGGCGCCGTCCAGCGCGCAGATGCGCAGCCGCAGCACCTTCGCCGCGAAGATCTTCTCCTCCTGCACGAACATCGCCGCCTCCGCCGCCGCCGCCGCCTCAGGGCCCGCGGCCCGGCCCGGCCCGGCCCCACCGACTGTCCCCCGCGCCGGAAATGGGCGGGCCGCGCGGCACGCCGGGAGTTGCAGTCCCGCCGCGGAGGCCTCCGGCGTCCCGCCCCTTCCGCTCTGCCGGCTGGCCGCGTGGGCCCGGAGAGAGCGAGAGGCGGCCGCGCCGTTCCTAGACTGGGGCTCCTTCGCCCCTTTGCTGCCCCCGGCGCCCGCGGAGGGAATTGCAGCCTCGTAGCGCCTGTGTGTCCGGCGTGTGGTCGCCGGATCCCCAAAACTGGGGTTCAGTCTTGGCTCCCCCGTAAAGCCGCCGCCCCCCGCCCAAGTCTTTCCCGTGCATCTCATTTCTGCTTTTCTTCTCCGGGCAAGGAAAGGCGTTCAGCCATTGCATCGCACCTCTGGCTTGCAGGCGAAGGGCTGCCCTGGCAAGGCGGGAGCTGCCGTTGCTTTTCCTGGCGCCCGTCCGCGTCCAAGCGGGGAAACGGGGTTAGTCCAGTAACCCAGTTAGGTCTGCTGGGGAGCTGCCCGCCCGTGCGGAGATGACTTTTGCACGACGGGCGCCCCATCGCGCCTCCCATTCTGCAATGTTGGGGTCCCAACCCATACACGTTTAATAGTCACTGTGGGCCAGTCACCAGGAGAAGGGAGTTCTAGTTTCGCCTTGGGCGTGAAAGCCAGCTGGGTGACTTTGGACCAGCCCCCCAGTCTCAGCCCAACCCACCTTACAGGGTTGCTGTTGTGGGGAAAATAGGAGGGGGAAGGAGCATTAGGGATGTTCGCTGCCTTGGGTAAATTTATAAAAATAATAAAGGCAGGACAAACATACAATAACAAACAATTGCTATTCAAATGGGGACTAAAAGCTGGCAATACTTCATCCCAAGCTTTAATTAATTTATCAAATTTATTTGCTGCCCATCTCATGATTCAGGCGACTCTGAGGGGCTTTTGAAGGCACTGGGAAAGAATGGGAACCAGAGGCGTAATTTTCAACATACTTTATTATTTTGTAAATGTGAATTTTACAAAGCATTTTCTCATTCATTATCACATTTTTTTTTTAATGGATTTTTTTTCTTTACGGTATATGAAATAGGTCTGACCACACTCTGAACTCCTATTAGAGCCAAGGGATGACTTTAAACCTTGCTTTAGAACTTGGATGCAGCTACGGTTTAATAGATCATCAATCAAGGCTTAACGTAACAGTCTTGAGCTAGATATGAGAGAAATGGCACGTAAACAACCAACAGAAAAGAAGTGAGTTAGCACAGCTGAAACGTAATTTTCGGCAGCACTGCAAAAACTTCCTTCTAAGCACTGGAATTATTATTAATTATTTTTATTATTAACAGTCATGAATTACAGTACTATTGGATACTTTGATACAGACTCTTTGAACATCGTTGTTCCCTTAAGACGCTTCTCTGACAATCGGCGAGATTGACACATTTTTGAGACTCAAGTGCCATCCAAAGGTTCAAGTCAAAAAATATCGACAGACTCACGCATAAACTTCTGTTTTTTTATCATTTCAGAACGCTCAAAAAAATAGTATTGCAAGGTTTGGCCCCCTCGCCCGCCCTTTCCCCCTCCCTCCCCCTCCCGGTTTCGGTCGCAAAAGTGCAAATAAGATGGAAAAAAAAAAAGAAGCAGATTTGAGCCTGGAAAGGTCTGGAGAAGTTTAGAAGCGCCAGTGAATTTTGCTTCTATCCTAGCAAAAAGATTGGCTGTTGGAAGATTTTGGCAGATTTGGATAAAAGGGGTTTTCACAGCAGCAACTACAGGAATGTGGACATTAAATGGATGTTTTCCCTTTTTTATGTTTTTTATTTGTATTTTGCATTTCTGGACCGCTCCCTCTCCCTCAAATGTTTTAATCTACTCCCCCAAAAGGAGCCTTAAATTCACGGCAACTATTAACAACTGCTGAACTAGCACTATTGGGTGAGATTTATACATCAGCTTGGAAGAATAGACCCCAAATGATCTCTCGTCGTTGGGAAGCTACAGCAGAAATGTGATGGTCTTTGGTCCAGCAAAGATGTCCTTGGGAAGGGTGCCACCTCTGTAGCACCTGGACATCTGGACCTGGCGCCTGTCCTGCAGAGGGCTCCATGCAACCAGTTTTGGACGGGGGGGGGGGTAATTTATCTAGAGAGGGGCAGGTCAGCAAAAAGTCTGCAAGAGGAGGCTGCAGAAATCAGTGCTAAGGGGCGAGAGCTACCATGGGTTTTTTTTTTGGGGGGGGGTGTTTGGCAGTCTTTAGAAGCGAGCCCCCTGACACCAGTGGGCCCTTCCCAGCTGCAAAGGTGGAGGGGTCCCTTCCTGTCTTTGAAACCACCTGGCAGGTAGGGAGGCTTCTCCTGTCTCGCTGGTCCCCAAAGGCTGCCAGACTTCTTTCCCCCCCACACCAGAAAGTGGGTGAGGAAAGCAGCAGGATTTTACATGCCCTGAGCTGCACTCGGAGGACATCAGAAGAAACGGGACGGGGAACAAAACTTTGTGCCAGTAAAGCTAAGGACGATGTACCGGTGTCTTTCTTAAGGCCACGTGGGGGGGGGGGGATAGAGCAGAAAAATACACTTTGGGGCCGTAGTTAGGTGCCAGTGGGGAAGGGGCAGATATTTTAAAGTGAGGTCAATTTGGAGCCAAGAGAGAACACGGAAAAACCGAAAAAGGCCCAAAGGAAGGAACTGCTTAGAGTGCTTGGCGGCGGCTGATGGGTTCTTTCCAAGGAAGGAATGGAAAGAAAGAAAGAAAAAGAAAGAAAGAAAGAAAGAAAGAAAGAAAGAAAGAAAGAAGAGAAAGGGGAGGATAGAAGGAGGGAGAAGGGAGGGAGGGAAGGAAGAAAAGGGAGGGAGGGAGGGAGGCAGGGAAGGAAGGAAGAGAGGGAAGGAAGGAAGGAGAAAGGATGGAGGAAAGAAAGGGAGAGAGGGAAGGAAGAAGAAGGGGAAGGAAGGGAAGAGAAGGGGAAGGAAAGGAAGATTTGGGTGTGTTTCTTTTAACATCCAGATCATTTCTACAGCAACTTAAGAGGAGAATTAAAAGCATTTCCCATCACACAAAGGAAATTAAACCAAAAAGAGAAACTGAAACAAATGACAATGTGCAGAATATGGCTTAATATCAACTTTGGAATGAAAATGAATTTCTGGAACCTTACGTTTTGCTTGGTCAAGAGCTTTGTGGTAGACCCCAGGGGGGGGGCTTCAGAGGATAGCCCCCTCTGCCCACCCCCATGGAATTAAAGACCACGGATTGGAGAGAAGGGCAACAGGAGACCCGCAAAACCCCCAAATTCCAGAAAATGGGAAGAAATCCTACAAGGATTCCCAATCGTGGCCATCGCTAAAGTCCATCCGAGTTTTCTTTTTACAGTCTTCTCTTCTTTAAAAAGGTGCTTGTTATAACTTTTCATATACATATATAATATTTATATATATATATATAATATAATATAATATACACAGGTAATATTGCTAACAGTCAAGCATTCAGAATAAAGGTGCAGACATACCATAAATACGTGTTTTTTTTTTCTCTTTTCCTAGGTTAAATCTACAGGGACGTCGTTCCCACCTCGA